GAGAGATAGCACGAGGGGGAGAATAAGTTACCGAGTTGTTTTGCTTACAAATCATGTGGGCCCAGCTGTCATTCATCCTCCCTTCCACCAATCGTTCAGGTTGAGCATTTTTGAAAGCGCAGCATTTAAGTATTCTTGCTTACTGTTTATAGTGTCGAGGTCAAAAAGCCTCCCTCTAGGATGCCCAAATAAAGCGACAAGGCATTTATTTGGTTTTTTGCAAACCACGAGTGAAGCATCTTTCACGTACAGTGCATCTTAGTAACTTCGATATGTTCAATAATTGAGAGTATCGGATCCAAAAGACATGCACGCAACGCGCAAACTAAAATTATTTGTTGAAAGATTATGAAAGTAGGTATTAATAATTTTTACTTCCCATTTGGTGTAGAAAAAATGACTTCTCTTCTTCGTCTGGTAATATTTATTATTATGGCAATCATAATTTAAAAACACTGTGCTTAATTTATGAATATGGCAAATATTTCTCTTATTCTTTAAAAGCACGCGCCTCTTTCTACTAGAAAAAGCAAATATTTATACGTTCATTGCTTTCTAAGATATATAATTATAAAATTCATTACGATGAGATTTTGTTAATTTTTTTTATAATAACTTATGGTCGTCAACATATTTTCACATACAAAATGTCGTAGGGAAAACAAATTTCAAATACACAAGATAAAACTAATTCATTTATCGTCTTAGGTTTTTCTCCTGCCACAGGCATCCAAGAAAGCTCCAAAAAAGAGTGAAAAACACAATTAGCTATAACTTATATTATTCATAAATTTTTTTGATTGTGTTTATTCTTGAGCCCCTCAAATGTCAATGGTGACGGTCCGGAATTTCTTTATTTCTTTATTTTATTTTAGAAAAATTTAGAATGAGTCCCTATTTGAAAAATTAATTGGCAAATAGAACTTAAGGACTGTGTGCCAATTAATTTTTATTGTGTGCAACTTAACTTTTTTTGTATAGAATTTATCTTCTCTTGTGTGTGCCATAATTTTTCTTTGTACACAAACTGTGTTTCCCATTTGTAAAATAATGAATTCTTATATGTAAGATCATCTTCTATGTACACAAAATCCGCTATATCCAAATAATAATATTTTGTGGAACATCATCTTATCTTGTGTGCAACTTACCTTCTTTTACGTGGAACTAATATTTCCTTGTGCAATGAATCATCTTAGGAACTATTTGCTAATTAAATTTGTAATGAGGGATTTATCTCAATTTTTTTTATTTTATGGCCAGAATGGTCCTATCGATCAATTTCAAATAAAGCATTAAGGCATCTTTCTTTCTTTTTTTTTGGGGTTGGAAAGCATTAAGGCATCTTTACGTACAAAGAAACCAGAATGGGGCGTCTTCCACGGTATTATTTTCAAACGTTTTCAACATTGACGCCGGCCAACACTGGATTCCTAAAAAGACAACATTAAACTGGAACTAATTTGCTTACATTTCCCTAAGTTCTTCTGTGCTTACTCAAGATTAAATTGGACATAGCAGGCAGCTTAATCATGGCGACTCAAGTTGAAACAACATCATCCTTTGGCTCCAATAACAAAACCAAGTATAGATATGATGTTTTTCTGAGTTTTAGAGGTGAAGATACTCGCCGCACCTTCACTGTGCCTCTCTACAATGCTTTGCGATGTAAGGGAATCAATGCCTTCATTGACGACAGGAAGCTTGGCAAAGGGGAAGAGATCTCACCTACGCTTCTTAGAGCCATTGAGAGATCGAGAATTTCCTTCATTGTGTTCTCTAGGAACTATGCTACTTCCACATGGTGCCTAGAGGAACTCGCCCATATCATTTGGTGTCAGAAGCAGAAGAACCAGCTGGTTATGCCCATCTTTTACAAGGTGGATCCGTTGGATGTTCAGTATCAGAAAAATAGCTTTCAGGAAGCCATGGCTGCTCTTGAAGATAGGTTCAGAGATGACTTGGAGAAAGTGCACAAATGGAGATCTGCTTTGTTTGAAGCTGCTAGCTTATCACCAGCATGGCTTTTCGAAGAAGATGGGTATGTTTTCTTGTATTATTTTCTTAGTGGTTAGCACGCTATTGAAGATGTTTGAAATTTTGACTTGTGACTATCGCTTTTGCAGTCCAATGAAAGGTGCAAGAAATTAAACATGTAGTTTTCACAGTATTGTTCTTATGAGGATTATTATGAAGTTTTAACTTTTGATTCTTAAAATAAATGCTGAATTTAAATTTAATAAATAAACGTTTAATCTAATGTTTACTCTAAATTTACTCCAATTTTTACCAATAAAATAAAACATAATAACGATACGTTGACAGTTACGCATACCCTTTTTCTTTAATAAGTTTTTGAACCCAGTTTTCACTTTTAATACTACTTTAGAGTAAAATACTATCATGGATATTCATATAAGATTACAATATAAATTTGCGATCTTAATAAATTAGACATATTCTTTTTATAGTTTGTAACAAGTACAGCTTCGTAACAATAATTATTAAGATATTTTTGTTTTTGCATGATTTACTTTTGGTTACTTAAATGATGTCAAGTGCACATTTGTTCCTCTAGTTTTATACAATGTTTTAGCTTAGTTTCTTCATTGTAGAAGTATTTTTTCATTCTCTTAAAACTCCAGATGTTTTTGTAACAATTATTGTTATTTTAAAAATTAAACTTAATATGCCACATTTGACAATAGTTTGTCAATATTTCAAATTGAAATTTCAATGTCAGTATTTTTTGGTTTACAGTGTCAGGATAAAATGATTGAAGATATACTTATATAAAATTAAGGGATCAAAGTGAAACCGCTAAAAATGAACTTCAAATATGCACCTTGTATATAAGGGATTCAAATAAATCCTAGACACATACAGTGAAAGTATTAAAATCTTGGAGAACCAATTAATATTGATAATCTCTTCAAAGAATCCAAACATAACTGTATTGAAAAAAAATTATATGATAATAGAGTACAAATATATAAAACAGAACATGTTACGAAAATCATCTTCATAGTAAAAATTTTCGCTTTTGTAGATACGACGAAGGTGAATTTATTGAAGGTATTGCTGAAGATGCATACGCTAGGCTGCCTCCTAAACGCTTCCATAACGATGATTACATCGTTGGACTTGAGCCCCGTATAGAAGAAGTCATGTCACTTTTGGATGAGTCTGATAACAGTGTTTCTATGTTGGGGATTCATGGAGCTGGTGGAATTGGAAAACAACCCTTGCAAAAGCCATCTATAACTCAATCTTCTTCTATTTTGAAGGTGCTTGTTTTTTATTTGATGTCAGAGAAGCGTCAAAGAAATATCAGGGTGTTGTCCGCCTTCAACAAACACTTCTATCAGAAGTTCTTGAGGAAAGGAAGATGAAGTTTGGTAGTGTTGATGAAGGAATATCAAAAATAAAGCATAGACTCTCTCACAAAAAGATTTTGTTGATTCTTGATGACGTTGAAGAAGTTGAACAGTTAGAACAACTTGCAGGAGGGGCTGATTGGTTTGGTTGTGGAAGCAAGATCATCATAACAACAAGAAACAAGCAATTGCTAGTTGCACACGATCTTAAAAAAACATATGAAATGAAAGAGCTGAATGAGCATGACTCTCTTAAACTGTTTTGTTGGCATGCCTTTCGAATGAGCCACCCTCCAAAAAGCTACAAAAGTATGTCAATTGGTGTTACAGATTATGTACGTGGCCTTCCTTTGGCCTTAAAATTGATAGGCTCCAATTTGAGACATAGAAAATTAGCGGAATGGAGATATACACTACAACAATATAACCAAATCACTGGAAGAACAATACATGAGATATTGAAAATAAGCTATGATTGCTTACAAGAGGGTGCTAAGCGTATTTTTCTGGACATTGCTTGTTTCTTTAAAGAGGAGAATTTGGAATATGTTGAAGACATACTAGGAGCTTGTTATTATGGGACAAGGTTTTATATTGAAGTTCTTGTTGATAAATCTCTAATAAGTGTTTGCTGATAATGGTCGCTTGCACATGCATGATCTAATTCAACAAATGGCTAGAGAGATTGTTAAGCAAGAGGCACCCTCCAATCTTGGTAAACGTAGCAGGTTATGGTATTACAAAGATGTGCTTAATGTGCTGCAAAATAATTTAGTAAGAGAAAAAAGGTTATCTATTTCCTTACATACATTAAATTGTACAAATTTGACAAACATCTAACAATGTCACTTTTTTGAACTTGTATTATAGGGAGGAAATGATATTGAAGGGATAATCCTTGATCCACCTAAACAAGAAGAAGTGATATGGAATGGTTTGGCCTTTCAGAAGATGAATAATCTTCAAATTCTCATTGTTCGAAATACCCAATTCTTAACAAGTCCCAAGTATCTTCCTAATAGTTTGAGATTGCTTGATTGGGAGAGATATCCTTCTATGACATTACCACCAGATTTTTCTCCTCCAAAACTAGTTTGCTTCAAGTTATATAGAAGTCTTTTCAAATTGGAAGAGCCATTCCAGGTACATATTTTTACTCTTTTTTTTTTTTTTTACCTCTTTCTATCTTTTTTCTTTGATCAAATTTCTGGAGCCATAATGTTTTTCTAAGAATCAAGAATAAATAACCTTAACTCTCATTGTATTTTTTGTTATTATCTATATATAGACTTGCTCACCTATTTCGGATTTCAGAGATTCAATATAAGATTAGATAAACCAAAGAGATGCTAAAATATTCTATTCAAAATATAATATTTATTGATAGTTGCTGTTAATTAAATAACCTTATATTTTTGTTTTTGCAGAAGTTTGAATATGTGACATATATGAATTTCTCGCAATGTGAATTCTTGAGAGAAGTGCCTGATATGTCTCATTGTCGAAATTTAAAAACATTGAGCTTTCGCGAATGTTGCAATCTGATCAAAGTTCATGATTCTGTGGGATCTCTTCATAAGCTAATACTATTAGATGTTGGCGAATGTACCAAACTTAAAAGCTTTCCATGTGAAATCAACATGCCATGTCTTGAACATCTCACTCTTTCTGGCTGCAAGAGTCTTAACTACTTCCACGTATAGTCGGAAAGATGGATGCACTTACCGGTATTTCTGCAGGTAGGACTGCTATTAAAGAGCTCCCACCTTCCATTGGAAATCTTTCAGGGCTTGATACTTTGTTTATAGACTCTTGCAAAAGTCTTGGGGAGCTTCCGATTAGCTTATTGATGTTGCAAAATCTTAGCACACTTTGTTGGAGGCATTCAACCTCGTGGTAGAAAATCTTTAAAGAAACTAATGCAAGAGAGTCAACCATTGACTAGTTGCACAAACATGGAGTTCCTGGAACTTGGAAACTGTGGCTTGTTGGATGAAGATGTTTACCTTGCTCTAAAATGTTTTCAGAATGTGCATCACTTGGATCTATCAAGAAATGATTTTGTGTCAATTCCTGAGTGTATTAAAGAGTGTGCTAATTTGAGGGCACTAGAAATACATAATTGCAAGAGGCTAAGAGACATACCAGAGTTGCCATCAGGGTTGAATGACATAAGGGCAGAGAATTGCACATCTCTAACAACTCAGTCAGTAGGCCGTTTATGGTCTCAGGTTTTTCTCATGCCTTTGATAATTTTCATTTGTCATGATCCTGGGCTTTATAGCTATGGCAAGGATAAACTTCTAAAAATCATGTCATAATTAGAATTTTTCAGCATTCGGTAATGTTTAATAATTTTTATTCATCTAAAGACATAGAAAGATAGGAGGATCATATTAAAAACATTCCAATGAATGGGAGATTAAGTTATTTGATATCTATAATTATAAATAATTACTCCTTCAATTATAAATGTAGGAACTAGTTAGGGATTTATGGTTCTGAATGTAAGATTTAATCTATTTTTCTCTATTTATTAATTTTTCTGAACCAATTGTTTAACTTTATAAACTGATATATAATCTAACGTTATCATGTCAATTTTGTTGGAATTAAGTAATTTATTGAGCTTCCTTAATCTCCTCAATTAACTAAGTAGTTCTTAGATTAAAGACCAGATGAGTAAATTGGAAGTATTCTTTTATGTGTAGTTCTCGAATCTGAAAACACCTTTGGTCTCTATTGTTTTGATAAATCAGGCTAAAATCTTCTTTTGCAAAGGAGTTGGTATGCCGACAACAACATTTCCTGATTGGATTGATTATTGCTGTAAAGGAGGCACATTGTCTCTTCGTGTTCATGGGAAAACTTTCCCCGTCTTGTTGTTGCAATTGAATCAGGGAAAACAAAGACAAGAAAGAGTATTCCCTTCCAAGTTTTTATGAGAATCAATGGTCGTAAAATGTCATGGATAGAAGGTGATGTTCCTTATGTGCCTGATGCAAGTAAAGAAGGTCGTGTGTTGCTCTTTTTCGGTAAGCAAGGCCATGTGTTCTTATTTGATTTACTTCAGAATTTTCTTGAAGAAGAAATGAAGGGGATCAATAAGTTTCTAGAATCAGATTGGAACGACGTGGACATACACGTAATGTGTGGGTCATATATTTCCATAATCAAGTGTGGAGTTTATGTTGATAAGCAGCAAATAAGTATGGAGAATATTTGCTTTGTGTCTCCTAGGGAGTTCATGAATACTTCAAGGACTTCACTGAAACGAAAAGCCATAGCTTCTTCTCTTGGTGAATCAGCCAAGAAGCTCTTGAGACATTTCAAGGCTGCTAATAAAAGAAAGCTCAATGACAAAGGGACACATTAAAGTGAGTTTCTACTTTCTTCTACTAATTGTCATTTCAATTTTGTGCTTATCATTCGTTTTGTTCCCTTTCATGTATTGCAGGAGAAGAAAACGACACCAAGTTTCTTGGTACATGATGTCTTACCCAATGGGCGAGCATTTTTGGAAACTTCTTTACTACTAGATGTTGGTTAACAAATGGTCTGTTTTTGTAACATGGTTGTTGATTTCAATGTCATTGTGTATTGGTAATTTATGTTTATGACGAAAAATAGTACCATATATAAATACTTATATCTAATGTTTCATTTCTCAACATCATATATTCTAAAAAGGAAAATTGCAAATGAACCCCTAATATGTAAAATTACAATTTGGGACCCTCAACTTGAAAATAACAAATAAGGACCTGATTCCACTTTTGCAAATATCAAATTGTATTAAAATGTCTAAATACCCCTCAGTTGAATGATAAGTTGACTATGAAAAATAACAAGTTCATTTTAGCGAAGGACAATTTCAGTAGACCAAATCACAACTTGGCTGAGGGTATGACAAATGATAAGTTGACTACGAGAAATGACAAGTTCACTTTAGCGAATGATAACTATAGTAAACCAAATCACAATTTAGCTGAAGGACATTTTAGATATTTCACCCACATTTCATTTCATATTTGCAAAGTGGGACTGAGTCCTTATTTGCTATTCTCCAAATTCAGAGTCCCAAATCACAATTTTACATATTAAGGGGTCTTTATTTACAATTTTTCCTTCTAGAAACTTGGTATAATTGTTTAAATTTGCTATGATTTTCATATTAGGAAGCCTCTACCATGGATAATAAGCTAGTTCTTGAGTGAGAATACTTGGTGATCTAGAAAAAAGCTACCCACTGAAGGTCTGACCAACAAGGCCACCAAGAATTTGGCAGCCCCATCCCCCCCCCCCTCCAAATAATCTTTTGGGATTTTAGACTAGTCCCCACAATAAAATAGTTGCCAATTTGTTGAAAGCTTTACAAACCCATATAATTGTTAAGGGGAAAATTAGAGAAAAGACTTTAGAGAAATCATTATATCTATTGAAAAGCATCATACAAATTATAATTATTTAAAAATACTAATCGCTAAAATGTAAATTTTAAAACACTAAATTCACTCTCGCCAATTTTCCTCCATGACCTCCTACCTTCAATTTTTTAAATAAAGATAAAACTGATGAAGCCGAAACCGCATTTCGATCTCTTTGCTTCTGCACAATCATGAACATCCAATATATATGGAGATAACAGAAGTAAACATTAATACTGTGGGAGATAAAGTTAATTGACATCTTATATCTAATGCTAAATCCAATCTTTCAACTAGTTCTTATATTAAGAACTGAAAATAGTAGTACTTTTTCTTCACATCTCCCAGCCTAATTTTCAGTTATATATATTATAGTAAGCTATACTACATGCAGATCATTAGTAACATGGCTGGCTAGCTCTTTACAAATTGTGCAAAGATGCATAATATAACATATTATTATATTGCTCCTCTGTGGAATCCCCTTATAAAAATGGCTCAGCCAAACTAGTTGTTGTCCTTTTTATTCTGAGACATTGAACGTTGCTTATTATCTTAGGCAATTATATTCTGGAAGACATCGTAAATGGCACGTCTTTTTATTTGGAATTGACGTAACTGTGTGTGTGTGTGTGTCTAAGAGATAGGCACTGGATGTGGAAGAATGCGATCCCTTTTGAGTGGGAAATGAAATGCGAAAGGGAATAATATATCATTAGAATATTTGCTTCTGCACATATGTTTATATGAGATCCGTCCCTCTCTTTTTAAATAGCATGTCTTTTCACTCCTAGCTATAACTTGTTAGAATCATTTGTTTTGATATGTTTAAGGGGATAAGATGGATCCAGTACCCCGAAATATTTTCTCGGATACATTCAGTACTTTTAAGTATTTTGTGGTCCATTCAGCCCCGAAATATATTTTTCAGGTGTCTCGCTACTTGCAATATTTTTTGATGTATCTAGCATCTCAAAATATTTTTTTTTTACATCTAGTACCCAAAAAATCTTTTTTGGTGCATCAAGCACCAAGACAAAAAAAAAAGGCTTCATGATAATAGATGCATCACAAAATAGTTCGAAGTGCTGAATGCAGCTAATATAATACTTCAGCGACTGAATACACTTTAACTTTATGTTTGAGTGGACTTGAATTAATATGGAAGCACCCATACATTTGAAGCAGTTAAGCATTTTGTTTTCTTT